TATATATATATATCCCCTCAGCCTTTCCTCTCTTCGTTACCATCTGAACGATATTCCAATGTCACGGCTGTATGCCAGTGAATCAATGTCTTGTTTGCTCTTGGCATACAGATTGATGTCATCCATGTAGAGGAGGCTGCTGACAATTGCTCCATCCTGTAGTCAGTATCCATAGCCAGTCTTTATCTCACTGAGGGGGTTGAGGCCTATGCAGAGCATCTCCTTGGTAGATCTCACATGATAGTGACTTGAAGTTGGTTCGCCACTTGAGTTGCTGATGAAACAACTCAAGGTCCTGATGTACAGTTCTAGGCTTTCCTGGATCCTGGTGTGGGGCATCTTGTAACCAATCCAGAAAGTGCACAATCTCTTGCTAACCATGATTAATAAACTACAGACATCACTATCCAGACCACCCCTGAAGGTCAGCTAAAATAAGCACCCATGTGGTTATTTTTTATTAGTCCTTTATTTATCCAGGTAAAATCTCATTGAGATTAAAAATCTCATTTCCAAGAGAGACCTGGCATCATGGCAACAAATGTCAAAATACATGTACCACATAAGTATATAACATTAAAACAAATACAATATCCTGTACGAACATGTGAAAAATATACAATAACAGATCAAATTAAGAGCGATATTAAAATGTATTATTAAAATTAATCACATTGAGTAAAAGAGTTATTCTCTCGTTCTTCAAGATGGACTTAAACTCCCCCAAGGTAACCAGTTCTGATAATTTCAGTTCCTTCTGCAGATTATTCCAGGAAGCAGGGGCAGCGTATTTAAAAGCCTTTTCCCCCAATTCTGCTCTGATTTTTGGGACAATCAGTTGTATGATATTGTGAAAATGAAGGTTGTATTGGTTGTGGTTTTTACACATATAATCAGCCCAAGAAGAGATTTATAGATAAAGATGTGTCTGATTTCTTAGCCATCCAGCAAAGATTAACGATAGGTTAAACTCAGTTTTTTTTCCCCTTCTTTAGACTTCCCTCCAGGAATGTTTCAGGTTATTGGAGGAGACCTTCCCCTCCACAGAGGAACAATGGGTAGGTTGCCACCATAGTCTGTTCTCTTCTCATTTGTTTTTAATCTTACGTTTCCTTACGTTTAACAGTGTTTAGAATTTCTTTTGGTTGCTTTGACCTCAGCTAAATGATGTTGGTGGTGGAGTGGAGGACCTGGAGAGTCAGCCCTCAGACAGAGATTCCCTACTGTTCCCTACTGAGAATCCCTCCATGGACTTTGAGCTCCATTGGCAGGATTTGCTAAATATCATGGAACCTGAGGTGACTAGGAGAAAAAAA